GGCGCTGCGGGCGCGGGTGCGGGCGCGTCGCCTGCGGGTGCTGCAGTCGGAGCGCTACAAGGAGCTGGCGGAGTTCCTCACCTTCCACTACGCGCGCCTCTGTGGGGCGCTGGAGCCCGCGCTGCCCGCCCAGGCCAAGGAGGAGCTGGCGGCCGCCATGGTGCGCGTGCTGCAAGCCACCGGCCGGGCGCAGGTGAGGCGTGGGAGCGCACCGACCCGGGGAAACCCGGGAGGGAGTGGAAGGTGGCACCCGAGCTCTACCTGCGAAAGGCGGGGCTACCTGGAGGCAGGGCCTGAGCAACACCTGCGAGGGGCGGGGTTTGAACTTTAGCGGCACGGGGCGGGGCTCGAGTTGAGCCTCCCAGCCGACCGCTTGCTTCGTTGTGAGAGGTGGAGGTTCCGGCCTCTGTTGAGTCTCAGCCCGGAGAGCCAGGTTGGAGAATCAGCAAGGAGAGGCCGAGCCTGTGCGCCAGGTGTGAAGGATGGCCTAAGCCCGCAGTGTGACCCCTGCCCTAACCAGGCATTGGTGACAGACCTGGGCACCGCGGAGCTGGCTCGCTGTGGAGGCCGCGAGGCGCTGCTGTTCCGAGAAAACACTTTAGCCACCAAGGCCATTGACGAGTACATGAAGCTGGTGGCGCAGGATTACCTCCAGGAGACCCTGGGTAAGCTTAGGGGTGGGGGCTGGTGTCAGATTCCTGCTGGGTGGGACAGGGGATCCCAGACGCGTTTTAGGGTGCCTTGGGTAACCTGGGTCCTGGTAGCAGGTGGTGCTTTTAGAGTCCTGGGGGCGGGGGTAATTAGAAACTTCTTAAAATGTTAGGGGCCTTGGGAATAAGTTGGAGATAGAGTTGGAGGCTGGGCGTGGTGGGTTTTGGTTACCATGACTCTGAACACCGGCTACGCTGGGCTGCAGGGCAGATTGTAGGACGTCTCTGCGCCTCCACCGAAGACTGTGAGGTGGACCCCAGCAAGTGCCCAGCCCCAGAGCTGCCAGAGCACCAAGCCAGACTTCGGAACAGCTGTGAGGAGGTCTTTGAAACCATCGTCCACTCCTACGAGTGAGAATGAGGGGCCCAGCGCCTGAACCACCCTGCCCCGCCCCTCAGCCACTCTGCTAACCACTGGCACAGTGACCTCCCAGTCCACGTTGCCAGATAAAACACGTGACGCTCAGTTAAATATGATTCACTCTTTGGGACATACGTATACTAAAAAATGTATTAATAGTTTATATGAAAGTGAAGTCTAGCTGAGTGTCCTGTGCCTGGTAACCCTGTCCCCAAAGCCGTGCCGCCTGACCCCAGTTAATGTGGGATCCAGTTCCTCATCCTCTCACCCCGAGTTATCCCAACCCCAATTCCTTACCACTTTCCTGTAGTCAGTTAAGACTTCAGTCCTATAACCTGTGCTTCCAGATGACGCGTACCCTTGATCCCATGACCTCTGACCTTAAAGGACCCTGTACTCCAAATCCAATGAAATTGATCACAAGTCACCTGGGATTCCAATCCCTGGACTTCCGATCCTAGGTTAATTTGCATGCCAATCCCATGACTTCTGACTCTAGATGACCCTGTGACCCCAGCCTCATCCTACTTCATATGTGCTCTGGCACCCCAGCCTCATATCCAAGTACAGCTACACCCCAATCTCATGACCTCTGTCCCCATGTGACCTTGTATGTAAGCCCAAATAGAAGAGTGCTGACTCTAGAAGCTGCCCTAATAACTACACTGTAAGTCCTGACCCAGCAGGTACCCACCCACATCCTCAAGATGTCCAAGCGTCTTACTCCAGATGTCCCGATCCTGGAACTCAGACCCCAGGTTCAATAAGAAACCTACTTGGACTTAATACATAGCTTCATGGCAGGTCGTTGATGAGCCATGTAATGATTCCTGCATGTTTGACCCCAGACCTCATGACCTTGACCATCATGATCTTCTGTCCGTAGCTCCCTCCTCTGACCACTGCCTCTTCTGCCCCAGTTGGTTCCCGGCAGAGCTGGGCGCTGTGTTCTCAGGCTGGCGAGAAGCATGCAAAGCACGAGGCTCTGAGGCTCTGGGCCCTCGACTGGTGTGCGCCTCCCTCTTCCTGCGGCTCCTGTGCCCTGCCATCCTGGCACCCAGCCTCTTTGGCCTGGCACCAGAACACCCAGCACCAAACCCCGCCCGCACCCTCACGCTGATCGCCAAAGTCATCCAGAACCTCGCCAACCGTGCCCCGTAGGTGTTGGGGGCCATGCTAGGGGTGTGGGGTGGCAGGTGCCTGACCTGACTCATTGCTCCATTCTGGCCCAACCCAGGTTTGGTGAGAAGGAAGCCTACATGGGCTTTATGAATAGCTTTCTGGAGGATCATGGACCAGCCATGCAACACTTCCTGGACCAGGTGGCCATGATAGATGTGGATGCCGCACCCAGGGGTTACCAGGGCAGCAGCGACCTGGCCCTCCAATTGGCTGTCCTGCATGCCCAGCTCTGCACAGTCTTTGCTGAGCTTGACCAGGTGTGACCTGACCACACAGCCCTGGACGTGGGGTAGGGAGGCAAGAAGGCCGGGAGCCTCTGGCCCCAGAGGCCCTCACATTCCCCTTGCATGTGTTACTAGGCAACCCGTGACAGCTTGGAACCGCTGCCCACCATCCTACAAGCCATTGAGGAAGGACGACCGGTACCTGTGTCCGTGCCAATGAGTCTCCCGCCACAGGAGGGAGGCCACACCAGGTAACTTCAAGTCTGAGGCAAGTTCTGGTGGGTGGGAACAGGGGTGGGGTTCAAGCTGGGGTCAGAGTTGAAAATGGACTGTGTCAGGAATCAGGGACAGGATCACGTTGGAGGCATTGTCAGAAACAGTGTAGGGCCGGGGTCAGAAGCTGGGTTGTATGAGGAGGCAGGGAATTGCTTATAATATAGTCCAAGGGCAGACAGTCCCAGAGTCACATTGAGTCCTGTCAGAGATTAGGGAGAGGTCACCCTTGGGGTCAGAGAGAGAAAGTAAGCTTGCCATCAGAGATGCAGGTTGTATTTCAGTCAGAGGTTTGGAGATGGGGTCAAATTAGGGGTCTGATTGTGATCAGATGTTATATGGCAGTCCTCAAGCATCAGGAGCAGGCTTACATGGTAAACAGAGGTCAGACTTAAGATAGGGATCAAGGGGCTGGGAATTTAGCTCAGCGGCAAAGCGCCTGCCTGGCAAGTGCAAGGTGGTGAGTTTGATTCCTGGTACCGGAAGAAAAACAAAAAAAAAAAAAAAAAATAAAAAAGATAGGGATCAAGCATTGAGGGCAGGGTCATATTTTCATATATGGGGTCAGAATATATATATATTGAGACTAGGCCTCACTGTGTAGTGCAGGCTGTCCTTGAACTAACTCACCATGATCCTCCTGCCTCAGCCTCCCAAGTGCTGATATTACAAACATGTGCCACCATACCTGGCAAGGAACCATATTCTGTCAGGGTGCAGGGACACAGGGTCAATTTATGGTCAGACATTGGACAGAATGGGTCAGATTGGGAAGGAAGAGACTGACCTTGAGATCAAGTCCAAAATCAGACTGGAGTGCTGGGCGTGGTGGCGCACACCTGTAATCCCAGCACTCAGGAGGCTGAAGCAGGAGGATCATTGGGAGTTTGAGGCCAGCCTGGGCTACAAAGTGAGCCAGCCTGAACTGCACAGTAAGACCCTGTCTCAAAAAGCCAAAAAAAAAAAAAAACCAGACAAGAGAAAAAGGTTATAGAAAGAATCAGGTCAAGGGTCACGTTGTGTCAGAAGTCAAGTACACAACTGGAGAGGGAGCAAAGGCTACACTGGGGTCAAGGGTCATAGAAAGGATGATATAGTAGTTAGAAGTCAAGAACGGGGTCTCATCAGGGTTGTAGGTCAAAACACGATCCCATCAGGATCAAGGGGCGGGCTTGGGTCATCTGGGGACCAGTTGAGGATCAGAGAGTTCCTATTCCTCCCCCAGCTTCTCCTCAAGGGAAAAGCCCGGCTTCCTGGCACCCCGGGACCTCTCCAAACACACTCCTCTCATCAAGAGCCAGTCTCTGCGCACCTTTCAAGGCGCAGGGAGCTGGGCCCGGCGGCAGGCGGAGGAGGAGCGACCCCCGCGGCGGGCCCGGCCGGTGCAGCGAACTCAGAGCGTCCCTGCCACCCGACGCCGCGCATCCCTGGGGCCCCAATCGCGCCCTAAAGGCGCCATCCGATCCGGCCACCCGGCCCGCGGCCGGCCCTGGACCGGAGTCTCTGCCTCGCTGCCTCGAAAGCCATCGGTGCCCTGGCAGCGCCAGCTAGACCAGCCGCGGGACCGAAACCAGGCGTCAGGCACACACCGACCTGTGGGCAAGGTAAGGTCTGGCCCAGGTGCGTGCCCAGAGTTGGGGGTAGGAGGGGGGCTGGGAGCCCAGAGGAACGAGACTGAGGAAGGACCGAGGGCCAGGTAAAACTGGATTCAAGCTGGGCGTGGTGGCGCATGCCTGTCGTCCCAGGAAGAGGATCGCCACGAGTTCGGGGCCAACCTGGATTACATAGTGAGACCCTGTCTCAAAAAAGCAAAAACTGGGTTCAAACACCGAGCTCACCGAGCTGCGTGACCCTGGGTATAGTCTTTGAACTTCAGTTTCCTCATTCATACCACGGGAGCGATGTTCCCCACCCCAGCAAGGCGGTGGAAAAGCCAACTGTTGAGGACTGGGAAGTCGGGGTCTCTGGGAACTGGAAGGGACAGACTTCCAGCGCAGTGACAGCAGCTGTGTGCCCCCAGCTGGCAGAACTGCAGGGTGAAGTGGCCGCGCTGCGCGAGGAGCAGAAAGCGCTGTCCCGCCTGGTGGAGTCGCTGAGCACTCACATCCGGGCCCTGACAGAGCAGCAGGAGAAGCTGAGGGGACAGCTGCAGGAGCTGGACACCAGGCTCCGCGCGGGGTGAGCCTCTCCCCACTAGCTCCGCCCCCACGCTGGCCCGCACCAATGAGATTTGTCCAGGACTCGCCTGGAATGACCACACCCCCTCGACAGGCCCCACCCCAGAGTCCCAGTCTTGGCCCAGACAGTACTCCCCACAGATGGGCTCACCTCCTCAGGCTTTAACCCTTCAATCAGCCCCAGGCTGTGCCAACAGGTACATCTCAGGGCAGGTGCTCCCCTCCCCAGTCAGGACCCCTCTCAGGACTGGCCAAACTCCGCCCCTAAGGGTTTAAAGATTGTTTTTCTTTTTGGGAAGGGGAGGGTTGAGACAGGGTCTCGATGGTCTCACTAGGTAGCCCAGACTGGCCTTGACATTTCAGTGATCCTCCTGCCTCAGCCTCCCAAGTGCTGTGATTACAGGCTTATAAGCGTCCCTGTAAACATGCCAGGCTCTGATCCGATCTTTGTACAGATTTATTTAGGCCCGCCCTCCACTCCAAGCCCTACCCTCTGGATCCCTGCCTGTCCAACTCAGACCTGGAAAGTACTCCAACCTCTGACTCTACCTCCTTTTCTCTGACCCCCACAGCACCTCGGAGCTGGATCCAGAGGGTAGTCTTCCAAGTGGTGAAAGCCGTAGGTTGAAAAGTCTGGTGAGGCTCTGGCTGAAGCCCTAGGCAGGGGTGGGAGGTGGGGGAGCAAGGGCTGGGGGCAGCCTTCCCTGGCTCCCAACCCACCTCCACTGCCTCCCCAGGAGTGCCGCCTGACTAAGATGGAGCACACTCAGACCCAGCTGAAGGGTTCAGTCCAGAGCCTACAACTCCTTCTGAGGACGCCGGGGCCTGGAAGCCAGTCCCCGCCGCTCCAAGCACCCTGCGTCAATGGAGATACCACCTGAGCGGCCCATCCCACCCCATGTGCCCCAGGAGCACAGCTGTCTTGGGGAAGGGTCTGACTCTGCCTTAGACCAAGCAGGCCTAAGGCAGAGTGTGTAGCTGTGGGTGCCAACCATTCTGGTCCTGTGAAGTTGTGCAGTAAAATCTTGATTTCAGTATAACTGGCAGTTTCTTTGCCCCTAAGTATTACTAATGAGAGCTCTCTCTCTAACCCTCGTTTAGCTCTTCCAAATTCTCCCCTACTATGAGGGAAATGTAAGCAGATTCTCACCAGCTGTGTGCCTTTAGGGCATCCCTCTCTACAGCTTGCACTGCCTCATCTGTAAAGTGCATCCAACGTTTCCTACACAGTAGAAGACCCTTAGTTAAAGGCATTCAATAAAAGGAATTCATGGACAGCACCTGCTTCTCAGTGAAGCCTGGATCCCACTACCCACCTGTCACCTGCCAGGCTCCAGATGAGAGACTACCTAGACCCCTAATACCCGGTATGCTCCCTCATGGCAGGGAGGAAAGGCACAAGTCTAGGAAGCAGATGAATGATGAGTGAGTACATATCAAGATGACTGAGCTCTGTTGGAAAACGTCTGAATAAATGAGTAGACATTTGAATCATGGGGCATGGTGGGCGGGACAATAGACAGTGAATAGGTTAGCATTTGTTTGATGTTTGATCTGATGAGTAGTTGGGTAGGGGGCTAACCAGGATGGATATGTCTGCCTAGGAAAGGCCTGGCTCACAGTAGGAAATATTTAAATGGGGTAATATTTAAATGGAGTGGATAGATAGATATAGTCATGCATATGTTTGCAGTCTTCTAAGATTCAGAGCTGGGTCATGGAGAAACAATAATGAACCAGACAAACAAGACCTCCATCCTCAGGTGGAAAGGACAAAGAAGTGTGCAATTGATAGATGGATGTATGGGTAGCTGGGTGGAAGGATGTATGTAGGGATGGTGGGATGCTTGCTTGGTTGTATGGGTAAACAGGTATTTACCCGGGTTGGAGTGATGGGCAGGTAGATAGGACAGGGATGGGTGGATTGAATGGGTGTTTGGATGGATTGATGGGTGGTTGGAGGGGTGGATGCGTAGGTGGCTGATAGATTGGATGGGTAGATGAGCAGTTGACTGATTGAGCATGTGGATGAATGGGTGGAAGATAGATGGGTGGTAGATGAGAGAAGGCAACAAGTTTGTGTGATGAAGTCTAATGTGAATGATGGGGAAGGACAGAGTGGGCTTGTGGTTGGAAGATAGATGATAGTGCGCAAGTGACTAGAAGCTAAGGACTGAGTGAGAGGAGTCCTCGATGACCTATGAATGACCCAAGTAGTAACTTCTCAGCCCCTTTCCCACTGTTTTGGTACTATTAGGGAGGCTAGCATTGGAAGAACCAGTGGAGTGATGGAGCCATTAGGGGTGGGAGGACCACAGTGTTGTCATGGTAACAGCCCCTACCCCGTCGAGCGGGCCCTTTAAGGGTGACCCGCTTGGCCACTCCCAACATGGCGGTGCGCCCGCTGGCTGCCCCCGAGTTGGGGGGGGGAGACCTCCCCATCATGGCGGCGCGGCGGGGCTGTCGCGCTGAGGTCACGGCGGCGCGCCGGGGGGGCGGGGCGGCCGGGGGAGCGATTTAAAGGGACAATGTCCCCCGAGCGGTGGAGGCGGCGGCAGCTGCGGAGGCCGCGGCACCGGCACCGGGAGCGACAGCGGCGGTAGCGGCAGCAACAGCCGCAC